GTACTCCTGGCTCAGAGCTTTTGGCGGGAATCAACTGAGAAAGAACAAATCAATTTTAAACTTGAGAAAATTTTCAAGCAGTTTTCCATTGGCTTGCAAAATAAAATCGGTCGACTCCGCAATACCCAGGTTTTACCAACCGGTTGAAACTAAAGATTTTAAATTGGCTCTCTCATTGATTTCTAATATCCCTACAATTGATTTCTCATTGATTTCTAATATCCCTACAATTGATTTCTCATTGATTTCTAATATCTCTAAAATGTGAGCCTGGGCAAAAAATGATAAAGATTGATGAAGATGGTCGTGCAAATGGTTTGAAGTTTGTATGGAGATTATGGCGAACAACTATGGATTTCTTTTTTTTTTTTTTTAATTTCACTTATACCGCTTTAACTTTGGTTCTAGTTGTCATAACGCTGAAAACAATTAACATGTAGTTGTTTTGACAACAATTAACAAGCATGTCCTTGTCGTGATCAGTGTTTAAGAAGCTTTAAAAGTTTCTCGAATACGACTTTCATTGTCTGCGGTCCATATAAATCTACAAAAGTTTGTATTAACTATTGACTAAGCACCGGAAGGTGGAATCAAAAACCTCTAAAAACAGTCAACGTAGTTTATGAACAGTCGTTTAACATTAAAACAAAGGTTCTAGGGCTACTTTCCTGATGCATTCCCATCCTGGACCACTGTACACTATCATATGCAAAAAATCGGCACTACGCACACTCGCATGTTGATTCCATGTTGGAACGCCACATAACAACTTCAGTAGTTGAATGTAGAAACTACAAACTGTATAATTAACCTAAATAACTATTTTTTTTTTCTATTATATCTTTCTAGTTCTTGCACAGGTAGAAATTTCTGAGATAGAGCAACAGAAAATTCAAGAAATAGAAAAAATACGGGATAGTCTGTTGGAATCTACAAAAGAAGCGTTGCATATAGTTACAGGCTTAAACAACGATCTTTCAGAGTTGCAGGTACGTTCATCGTTAAATTAAAGGATGTATTCGATAATAATGGCACCACCGATGAACCGATGGCACACCGAGGGGGGGCGTCACATCTAAATCTCAAATCTGGATGCTCGAAAAATCTCACTCTAGCAAACCAATCTACTAAAAATCTTCTTTCATTTCTCGCATCTACTTTCATCGTGCATCATCTTCTTGCAGGAAATCCTCAGAATTGTCATAAATCTTTTTTCTATCTACTCAGCGTGCGCGCAGCTAACCACACTAAAAGAAAATCGTTTCCGCATCGTAGATAGAGTCGTCCCCCTCGTGGCACACCGAAAATCTTCTGTAACTTTTGAACCGTATGAGTAAAAAACCTGTGTTCCACATTTAGAATTTTTTCACTTAAATTTGACGCTTCGAAAATAAATTTCGGGGTTCAATATTAGCTTGAGTCTATGCGCAAATTAAAAAAAAAAGCATGCTATATTGTACGTAGCCCCCCCCCCCTCTTATCTAAGGGGCTACCCCCTATGACCTCAACATGCCAAATTTGGCTCTATTTGCTTGATTAGTTCTCGAGTTATGTAGAAATTTCTGTTTCATTTGTATGGGAGCCTATGGGCCAAACCTTTCCCTGCCAAAAAAAAAACCCTGCATACAAATTTTCACGCCGATCGGTTCAGTAGTTTCCGAGTCTATAAGAATCAGACAGACAGAAATTAATTTTTATATAGGTATATAGATTCTACTTGATTAAGAATAACTGAATGAACATTGCAGCGCCGAGATTTCTTGTTCACTGTACAACACAATTAGCCGAAGGTGTCATTAGCCACAAAAAAAAACATGGAGGGCGGAAAATTGCTTTAATGATCCTTGACTGTCTACAAAGTTTCCTTTGCTTTACTTCCTGAAAATTTTCTCAGCTTATACAAGTTTCCACACTTCCAAGTTCCACATTTTTTCCAAGTTCTCTCAATTCTATTGAGACCATGACCTCCAAACTTCAGTACTAACTTTGAATCTTTTCAAAGATTTTTTTTAAAGATCTAAGCGTAACAAATTTCCCAAATCAAAGCCTACAGTTCTGAAGAACATGCTAAACTTCTACCATACTCACTAAGCTTCTATGAAGTTCTTTAACTTCTAAAAAAGTTTGCTGAGCTTCTACAATTTACGTTGAATTTAAATGAAATTCTCAACAAATTCTACATACGGTAAAGGTCCAAACGCGCACACTTAGATTTTTACCGATAAGGGCACCACCGTGTAGCTCGCCGTTTACTTCTATAGTTGACAATTTCACTCTTCATCTTCATCGCATTGTCTCAAAGTTCCGAAGCCAAGAACGAACTTCCTGAGAATCATAGGTACTACTCGTGTACTCCGCTTTTCTGATCACACCTTCCAAAGCCGAGCAGGAACGAATATCTCGATAACTTAAATTGGTATGGATGAGCCTGACATAAAAGGTAAAATACCTACCAACAAAAAAATCCCACAATACCAAATTATGCCAATGCAGTATGGCATTTTTGTGGTATCAAAATATCCCCAGACAACCAGAATGTACGTATATTCAAAGTTGTTTCTGTGATATACAAACATATATACAAACAAACAAATCGTATAGAATGCAAAAAAGGGCCTATACCTACAAAAGTGGAGGTCATATACGTGCAAATTTAATTTTTTTTTTAAACGAGTTGATTTGACATTATATACGATTCAAACTGTAATAACAAATTTAATTTGAAAAACCTTACGATGTAATCCGATTTAATTTGTGAAACAGTACGATGAAAAAAAGATTCGTCGTATTTAAGTCGGAAATTTGCATTCTATACGATTTAACTTAAACATAATGCGATGTATGTCATACTTATATGCGATGTTGACTTAAACTGTAGTTATTTACGATACTTTCTGTACATTGTTATACGACTTCTGGTTGTCTGGGTCACTTTTTGTTATTTGCAAAGAATTTTGCATGCAATTTTTTGGTATTGGTATTATTCTTTGGTATTTTACCTCTTATGTCATGCTGATCAACACCAAATTTTGGTATCCGACCAGAATTAGTTAGGGTAGAGCGCTACTTCGTCGTAATCGCCTATTTCCGTTCTATCGATCAATGATTTCACCGTGCACAAATCAATAATAAGTTTGTTCCGATCCGTTAGTTCATTAGCTATAACATAAATCCTGTTAGAGCGCATTGTATGAATATTTACGCTCATTGTTCTCAAAACAAAAGAAGCGCTCGTAGCTAATCCCCTTTTTCTATAGAAATACGTATACTTTATCCGTAGGACGAAAAAAATCTTTGGGTCTATCGATCAGAAAACATCACATAAATTCATTGTTTCAGAGTTAAAAAGTCAATTATGCGTTTGGTACGCTGCTTTAGTTCAAAAGCTACCGAACGAAATCAATGAGAGCGCGTGATATGAATGTTTACACCCATTTTTCTCAAAAACAAAAGAAGCGCTCCAACCGAATCAATTTTTATCTTCATCCGATAGGCCGAAGGTAATTCAATGGCGTTTGAATGCGTTTCAATGCGTTAGGCCGAATTTAGAATCTGTAGGCCGAGTTTGGCGTCAAGAAGCAGTGTTAGACTTTTAACAATATCTCAACAATTTGTTTCTCTTATCTTATGGTACGTACGGAAAGGTAAATAAATTTAGAAGCCATAAGTTATAATAACATTCCGTTTGGCGCTAAACTACGCTAGATTAAGAAAGACTAAGTACGGGTTGTGCTTAATAGGCCGGGAATGGGGTAGTTAACCCTATTAGATTTTAAACAATATCTCAACAATTTGTGACTCTTTTTCAAATCTAACGGTGAATAAATTTACACTCAAAAAATTTATCACATATCTAATGGATGAAATCCATGTGAATGTCACATAGCTTTCCTGTGATCACATAGCTGCAAATCCCACCACAAATTCACATGAATATTATGAGGACGATGAAATTTATATGAAAAATCATATAATATTAATTTGATCGCATAAATGTTAGGTGAAATTCAGATGAATTCCATTAATTTTGATTATGGATGAAAATCATGTGCGTTTGCAATGGAAGCTACATGAAAACTATTTTCGGTGTAGAAGTCATCTTTGTTTAAACTCGTTCAGAAAAGAGAGGTAAAGCGCGGGTTGTGCTTAGTGGACGGAAATTAGATCAAATACCCTATTAATTAGTTGAAGATGCTAATTTCAAATCACAGACTGTAGTGGTAATTTTTATACGATAGATAACTACGGAACTATCAACTCTATGCTTTCATCTACTCCATCTATCGTATAAAAATTACCACTACAGTCTGTTATTTGAAATTAGCATCTTCAACTATGTAAATCGTTGACTTATTTTTTTAGTTATTTTCTCCTGCACGGGAAGCGATATTTTTTATCACCTTATTGCCCCAGCTTAGAGGTTTTTAGTAAAGGACTGAATTGTATAAAGAGGCGACATCTTATCCATTTGACAGGTCTTTTACTCGATTGGAATAATCCAGTGTTCCAATTTTGACGACATGTAATAATCTTTATAAATTCAGGCTCTTTAGTTTGTAGGTATCTATAATAGTTATTACTTTTTTTCAGGGACGATACGTACACGCATGGGAAGAGTGCTTGAAATGGGAAAAGTCTATAACAACGGCAAAAAACTACATGGCAGCAAACGAGATGAAAACCAACTGCATGCTTGATGCGATTTATCATTTGTACAGTTTGATTCGCAAACGACGCGGAGAACAGCCAATTTTTTTACGTGGAGATGTTGAAAAGCAGTTGGACTTTATCAAGGAAGAGGCAGGAATTATGCAGCAAATTCATACTCTTGCTGTCAAGAAATTGGCAAAGGAAAACATGAGTTTGGCGGCAGAAAAGGGTTCAGTCAAGGCCAAACCCATCATTTTTCCTGCAACGAAGAAACCGAAGGCTTTCGGAATTTAACACCTTAATCAAACAATACTGCTTTTTTGTCATTGAATCATTTATATATATATATATTTTATTATAGCTTTACTTCAGTTCCGCAAGATAATACGATTAGTTCATATATTTGTAATCTTTAGATAAATATATGATATACTAAATGTTCTCCTCATCTGTGGTAGGTATATCTTTGATTTGAACTTAGCTTTCAAAAATCATTAGTTATGATTTCCGAAAATTATTTTGCATCGTTGAAGGCCTTTTGAACAAAAAATATAAAATTTAGACCCATCCGAAATGGAAACCAAAAAAACGTTAGTATAATCTGTACATTTGGATCTTTGCAAACTATTGTGACTTAAGTTTCAACTACTTTCATTTTGAGTATGGGTTTTGGGCAAATACTAGCTATGCTATATGATTTTCAGAAACGAAACATCATTTCTAGAATATAAAGCCATTTCTCATCAACGATGCTATTTATAATAAAAGGAATGCAATTTATAATTGTTTATAGAAAAACAAATTTAATATTTTAATAGTTTAGTACCAAATTGAGAAAGATAGCGAAAATGACTAGCAAACAGCGTTGAAATGTGATACGGTCCAATTAAAATAACATAAATTTTATGTAACATAAATTCAAGAACAGGAACAAAAATACTGATGATGTTGTTTTAAACTCATTTGATTTTGAATAATTTTGTTAAAAAAATCAAAAATACACATTGTAATCGAATTTTTGTTTTAATGTTTATGCTGATTGCAGGGAACTGTTTTTTTTAATTATTATTTGCACCACCGGAGATACCTACATTGTCTTCATATATGTATATATAGAATTTGGAGGATTACATACGCTTTTCCATATTTACAGTAAACTTTCTGTAGTAGCTGTTAATCTAACGATGAATGTTGCAAAACAAATTTCTTGAGGATTTTTTATTTAACTTCACTATTAGCTTATTTATTTATCAACGATGTTTGCTACATAGGTAGTTGGATTGAGTAAGATCGCTTTAGAGATGGACATTATCTTTTTTGTTTATTATAGTCTCGTTGAAAGTGACAAAAACATTTTAAATTTAATGAAAAATATATCAACAAATCAATAAATATAGCGTCCGATCACTTCGGTTCATAGTTCAGTTGTTGCATCTTATTTTTCTATATTCATGTAAGCGATAATGCGATAACCTCTCTTGTACAACTAGTTGAAAACGAAATGACCTGAAAGAAGATAAATGAGAAATATTTTTTTAATAGGTCAATCATATATCTACCAGTTCCAACCCAGTGCGAAACCGAACTAAATTATTTTTATCTAGATCAAAAAATCCTATGGTTTTGAACATTTAAATCGAACGTTTACAATTTTCGGGCATAAGTCAGAATTAAGTATCTTGTCGGATTGTCGATGGTAACACGGTTTACCCACCGCTAATCTGGAGCATTGTGATCCTTTGATCCAGGAATTACAGGAAACTCACGACCACAGGATCGAAAATGAGGTAACTACTGTAAAGTCTTAAATTTTGTTCAAGGTTCTTTAAAATTACACAATCTTTCAATAAGGTTCAAAAAATTTCAAATTTTAACATAAATTAGCATTGACTGTGCTTTATGTTAAACTATCATGACCAACTTGGTCAATTTCGTTGTACCCTGGGCATTGGCATAACCTTGAGGATTGCTTAACTGCAACCAGGTCCCAGGGCTTGTCTGTATCTTTACATTTTGAAAGATGCACACTAGTGATGCCAGTTGTGATGTAGCGAACCAAAGTTTGTTTTGATTTAACTACTAGCCAAAATTAAATAATTATGTAGTTTAGAATTATAGTATAAAATATGAATTGTTTCTTTTAAATAATTGAGTCTAATAGTTACAAAAATGTAAAAAATTAATTTCCATTATTTGGCTCAAAACTTTTGGAATGCTACATCACATAGATACTACCTTTGAATTTGGCTTGATCGAGTGGCGATTTTGTTTTCTCTTTTCTTTTATTTAGATCAATACGATGCAGTTTTGAAGAAAACAACGATATCAACTAGGTATATTCCTTCTCGGATGAAGACAGCGAAGATGATTTCCTTATGAGCGAATTTGAAGACGACGAGAGCGCAAACAAAACGACTGTTCTACCGCAAATCACTCTTTACTACTACTATTCAATATTACTTCCTCGATTTCTCGTAAAATAGTCAGTCATTCATCGGTTTCATTTATTAGCATTCAGAGGAGTTTTTGCTTTTATTTGTACCACCTTTGGTGCCTTTTAAGTTTTTACCAACCTCGATCATTATTTTGATTTTGATTTTGCGAGACAGAAGGGGGTCTTATGAAGGCCAGATCTCAAGTCTCAAGGCCAAATTCCAGAACTTGAGTGGAACATGGTTCTCACGTCAGACTATAATGTCTAAAATGAACCACATGCCCCAACCAACCCCTAGAACGGCTCCCATACACTCTCCATGCTGAATCGTGAGTCCCCCCTTTTCCCATATCATTACATGCAAAATAATAACCCGATGCAGGTCAATTGAATATGCCTAATTGAATTAGTTGCAATGATAGTGTTAACAGTAATGACAGTATAATATAGAAATTTAATAAAATGAATATTTACCTGTTAATAATGATCGAGGTTGGTGAAAAGTATGGGAAGTTGTTAGTAAAAGCAAAAACTCCACTGAATGCTAATAAATGAAACCGATGAATGACTGACTATTTTACGAGAAATCGAGGAAGTAATATTGAATAGTAGTAGTAAAGAGTGATTTGCGGTAGAACAGTCGTTTTGTTTGCGCTCTCGTCGTCTTCAAATTCGCTCATAAGGAAATCATCTTCGCTGTCTTCATCCGAGAAGGAATATAGTTGATATCGTTGTTTTCTTCAAAACTGCATCGTATTGATCTAAATAAAAGAAAAGAGAAAACAAAATCGCCACTCGATCAAGCCAAATTCAAAGGTAGTATCTGTGTGATGTAGCATTCTAAAAGTTTTGAGCCAAATAATGAAAATTAATTTTTTACATTTTTGTAACTATTAGACTCAATTATTTAAATGAAACAATTCATATTTTATACTATAATTCTAAACTACATAATTATTTAATTTTGGCTAGTAGTTAAATCAAAACAAACTTTGGTCCGCTACATCACAACTGGCATCACTAGTGTGCATCTTTCAAAATGTAAAGATACAGACAAGCCCTGGGACCTGGTTGCAGTTAAGCAATCCTCAAGGTTATGCCAATGCCCAGGGAGTTTTTACCAACCTCGATCATTATTAACAGGTAAATATTCATTTTATTAAATTACTATATTATACTGTCATTACTGTTAACAATATCATTGCAACTAATTCAATTAGGCATATTCAATTGACCTGCATCGGGTTATTATTTTGCATGTAATGATATGGGAAAAGGGGGGACTCACGATTCAGCACGGAGAGTGTATGGGAGCCGTTCTAGGGGTTGGTTGGGGCATGTGGTTCATTTTAGACATTATAGTCTGACGTGAGAACCATGTTCCACTCAAGTTCTGGAATTTGGCCTTGAGACTTGAGATCTGGCCTTCATAAGACCCCCTTCTGTCTCGCAAAATCAAAAAATCAAAATCAAATGACCAACTTGGTCAATTTCGTTGTATTGTTGTGTATCGAATGCATTTGCGGCATTATAAATTGGCGGTCCTCACCTTGCCTCATTCAGTATAAGCTTTTTGAATCTTATTAAAGGAAATTTGAATATTGCACCTCCACACAATATTGAACAAGGGTAGCATTGTGCTATTGTATTCGCTCGAATCAGAAAAAAAGGTCATTAAACCTTATTTTTTTAACATCAATATGTTATATTGTTTCGCTAGTTTTGCCGACACAACCATAAATCATCACCAAAAATAGTTTTCATGTAGCTTCCATTGGAAACGCACATAATTTTCATCCATAATCATAATTAATAGAGTTCATCTGAATTTCACATAGCATTTATGCGATCACATTAATTTAATATGATTTTTCATATGAATGTCGTCGTGATTTTGTGATGGGATTTGCAGCTATGTGATAAATTTTTTGAGTGATCCACTGTGTTAAACCAAAGATATCTAATTAACAAGATATCCCACTAATCAATTCCTCGAATAAGACAATGGAAAACCACCCTTATGTGATCTCAGTGCCATCTGGTGAGTGCACATTAAAACTATTGGTAGTCCCCCGCCAACTTCATTCACAGGGCTCAATAACTGACAGGTGCCTGCGCGGATGATGATGATGATCAGCCGAAGGAAGAGGACGATATCATCCTCGACGTCATCAGCATTATTTTGCGATACCAAGATTCTCATTTGTTTGTGATTGCTCCGGTTTTTTAATCATTACGCAACAGAAACAGTTGAGAAAACAAGCACACATCTAAACTCGCATCATAATTGGCTTTTTAGCGGCGCCGGTGGTGTAGTGGTAAGCGTGATTACTTCTCACCCCAGCAGACCTGGGTTAAATCCAAGTCGGAAGGGGAAGTAAAGCCGTTGGTCCCCGGTTCATGAGTTGATGGGTCGATAGGTAGGGTCCAGGTGTGGGAGCTGCCTCTCTGGCGTCGGTAGCATTGGTGCTCAGCACGGAAAACAAGATCGACGGAAAACAAATGAAGGAAAAAAAATGGCTTTTAATGTGTTTTGCTTTTGAGTGAAAGAGTTTCTAATATCATCACCGGTATCAGTAAGATGCAAATCTCTAATAGTAATTTGCGAAGCTGTTGCACAATATTATTTTTATAAACCTAGAAGTTATCATTGGAAAAAAAAACAATATCTCTGCCTAAAGCATTATTCCAACACTCAACCACTGGAAATGCAACGTATCAGAATCAATGCTAAACAATCGTTATAAAATGTGCCATCTTCCTTGGCCAACGCAGCACGTAATCTATCCAAAAATTACGTTGGATAATGATTACTTTCCTTTTTTATAACAAGGTAGAAAGGTAAAGCAAACGGCAGCTGCCGAAGCTGAATGATGACGATGAGTGATGAAACCCCCTCGTGTTTTGTTTTGCGTCCACTCAGTGGTATGGGTTCGTAAATGCATAGATGTTGGTTTGCGTGTTTTCTTCCAATCTCGGTCCAACACTTGGTTACATGGCCGATTTATGGAAAACCATCGCTGAAGTTGGGCTTTTCATGGCTAATGTGCTCGTAGAAACATTGTCACTGAAAATCTTAAGGACGGCATTTCGCGGATTCAGATGCCACCTCAGCATCTTCGCTAGGACGCTCAACTGCTGTGTCGACAACTCCACCATGAGAAAATTTGCAAGATTTTGAGGCTACACACTTATAGCGAATTCGTTTATTATCGGGGTTGAAACCAGTTCCAACCCAGTGCGAAACCGAACTTTTTGTCAGTGCGAACCTCAACCTGAGCTAGGTTTTAAAAACAAACGAGCAAACTGACGTTTGTCGGAAAACAAGCAGACCCAATTCTGATACCCGATCCAGGTTGGAACTGAATAATAAACGAATTCGCTATTAGATTTTTTCCCGAGATGGGCACCTATCAGGGTCTGCCTCCCAGCACGAAACCAATCGGTCTAAAATTTACGTGATATCACATTCGAAAGTGGGTTGAATTGAATATGATATGTTACCACAACGTATCCAAAAGACTGGCAGCTCTGCTAATCTGTTCCCGATATGATTTATTTTGTATTGTTGTATGCAAAATGTACTTACCAATAGTAATCACCTTAACTAAACGCTGCATGTGAGCGAGCGAGTCGTAATTAAGAAGACAACAAATAAATGATTTTTGTGTCTATCGATAGCACAGTCAAACAACGAATTCAGAGCTACGATGAATGTTCGAGTGTGTGTGTATTTTACATACCACCATATCCTGGATATGGTGACATATTCGGTTGCGCTGGTACGTATGCTCCGGTATATTGCGGCGCGTATTGTGGCATTCCCATTCCTGGACCAGCAGTTAACATAAGCTGTGGTTCGGGAAGGATGATGGATTTATGTTCAGAATTTTCTCCTTCCTTTTGTCGCTCAGCGTCGGCCACTTCCAATTTGTCAACCTTGGATGTATATTCTCTGGTTACCTGGTGGCAAATTTAAATACGATTTTTAGATCAATGCACACATGTGTGAGCAATTGCATTTATTACAACTTACCTGTATTAGATAGGGCATTGCAAAGTCCATGATGTTATGACGCCATGCCAATTCGAGGATGATATCCGGGCGTAACAGATCGTAGCACTATGAAAACAGAATAAAAATGTCATAATTTAAAGCAAAAGTACACATTTATTTCCATCCATAATACCTGGAACAAGCATGCTGCGAAGCAATCGTGCGCTCCTCGCTCTAGGAACCATCCGAGTAATTCTTCTGCCAATTCACCTTGATGGGACTCGGCCGCATATTCCATGGCGTCTTTGAATAGACGATCCTTTTTGCACAATTCCACACTCTGCTTCCAACGGTTGTTTCCTGAACAAGGGGGAAGAAGAATTAATAACAGAAAATTGATTCTTGCGGATTATCCTTTGTTAACATCATACCTTTGTACAGGTAAGCAGCGATTCGTCTAAATTCCGTCAGTTCATGTTTTTCGAGCTTCTGAGCAAGAGCAATATTGTCGAAATTGTCAAAAGCGTCGATTGAAGTTCTGAGGCCTTGATAGTCCTCTTCGTCAATTAGAAGTCCATTAAGGGCTTCATTGATTGCCTTGTTGTTTAGACTTTGCACAGATCGGAGGTAAGTCTTGATCAGCTGAAGGTGTCCTTGCTTGGTGAAGAAGTTGACGGAACGAGTATGATCCATACGGGGTGCCAGCACGAGGAGCATATCGTTCAGCAAGAGCGGTTTGTAGTCCAGATAAAACTGGATGGCCTTGTAGTACAGCTCAATATTGGCAACTTTAGTAATAATGTCCTTGAAGTGTCCCTCTCGCCATGCCTCCGTAGGATGGGCCATCATTGCTAGAACGGCATTGTCGAACTCTTCGTATTTGTCATAGAGGAACACCAACTCGGACCAAAGGTGGGCTTGTTCTGCGGCACGAAGTACTTTCGGAATGTTTACTCGCGACCAGAACAATTCCAAATGCTCACGCATTTTTGCTGGTTTGTACTTCGAGTAGAGGATAGCCAATTCCGTAAACATACCCATATGGGCCCGTTCAAGACCAAGGGCTGCTTCCAGGAGTCCAATCAGTTCTTCGAAATGTCCTCGATCCTGGTAGTACGTGATCAAATCTTCCAGCTCGTCCGCATGAACCACAATATGCAAGCCGCACATTTGAGCCAACCGGAACTCTTCAGCATCGACGCAAGCAAAACAAACTTCTTTCCAGGTGCGTGTAGAATTTGCCTTCCTTGCGCCATCGACTGCTCCTTGGAATTCTTTCAAATGTACCAATGTGATAGCCAATCTGGCAAAATTGCTAACGTTGTTGTATAGCAGCTTAGCAGCTTCGTACATTTTATCGTTGAAGCAACGGTCGCCGATTTTCTGGATATCGGCATGATTTGGTCCGGAAACAAATTCCTCCAAGTCAGCTAGTCTACCAGTACGAGCGTACGCATAAATAAGCTCACTCTCAATGTAGCTTTCACGAGCCTTCTTGCGTGCCATCTGTAGATAACGTACCAAGTCTTCCCAGGACTCATTCTTGCTGGCAGTTTCCACGACATCCATGTATGCACTAGGATCGTCGGCTTTAATGTAACTGTCAATTGCTTCCTTTACCAGGCCTTGCTGCAGCTGTGCACGTGCCAATTGAGACCAGACGGCTGGTTCATTGCAACGTTCAGCAAATTCATTCGCTCGCTCTAAATTGTGCACTTGTTCAATCAATACCTGAATGGCGGAGGTGTTGACATCGAACTTCTTGAAGATAGCAAACGCTTCCTCGTACAATTCGTTATTGATTGCAATGTTAGCAATATCAGGCGCATCGTAGTTGTCCAAACGATTAATGTAATCCATTACGCGGCTTCGGTCGGCTTTTATTGCCGTTAATATCAGAAGATTTTGCAAGTTGCGGTGATCCGAGAAAACGGACGAATCCAACACGATTTTCTCAAGCAATTCAATCAGCTCGTTCGGCAAATCTGCTGTCATGAATGCCTTGACAGTAACGGAAATATCGTCCGGATCCTGAGTCTCTGAGAGGGCAGTTTGCACAACCTGATCAATCAGTTGACGTTTGTACGGGTTTGCTTCGGACAGCACATCGGCCCATAATTCTGCATCACGGCGACGAACCAGGTACCTTGCTTCTGATTTAAACAGCGAGTTTTCATTGCACACTGCAATCAGCTCACGATCACAGTGACCGCGTTCATAAGCAACGCAAGCCAAATGAGGATCACGCTTTTCACAGTACCGGCCAACCACACGGCTATCGTAGAATTGATTCTCCTTCAGGAACCGTTCCGGATTGTTATTCGAGTCAATGTAGATTTTAGCCAAAGCATTGTGAGTTGCTGGCTCGATGCAGCCTTCATGGACGCGAGATTCTAACCACGGGAGCAGCAACTTGAGACGATTACGCTTCTCGACTTCTTCAACAAGCTCGTCAGTGGAGAATTGTCCTTTCACGACCAAGATTAAATTCTTAATGATGTCTTCGGAACAATCGACATCCAGTAGCCCACCAACAACGACTGGGAGACGAGATGGATTTACCTTCTGTACATAGATTTCAATGTATTTTTGCAAACTGTTCCGGTACAGATACAGAACGAGGTCGTGAACAAAATCAAAACGATCACAAACGATGATCAACGGAAGTTGATCGGTGAGCTTAGCTTCCTTGAGGAAGTTCTTAACTCGTTCAGCGTTGTAGCAGTTGGACTCACGACAGATGCGTTCAACTTCCTTGATTTGATTGGTCTTGCACGCTGCCTGGATGTATTTGAAGTGCACTTCCGGATCCTGGCTAAAGTTAACAATCGATCCAAGGAAATAGAACAACCCTTCGTAGCTCTTGAAGCTTTCAAACAAATCAATCAATGCCTTCGTAGTCAGTTGTTCGTGGTACTTGGTAGCAATCTGCACGCAAATCTGCAAGTTCTGACGAATGTTGGCAGTTAGCATTGCTTTCAAGCATTCCAGTGAATCTTCAACCGATAGTGTTCCGAAGAATCCCACCAGCCAGTCTCCGTTCAGTAGATGGGTATGAACAACGGCACGCTTGATGTCATACAAATCAGTGTAATGTTCCAATGCTCGTTGCAGCAATCCGGCCTTCTCGCATAGCTGGGCAATGTGAGCGCGATCGTAATGAGTGAACATAGCATTTCCGAGGATGGCATCAGCAACTTGTGGCGCGGACATCAAATTCATCTCCAGCAGACGGGTTTGGAGAGAACCTTCACTGGGACGATTGTTCTTCAAAGCATCAAGCAAGAAAGCCGTACACTGCTGTACCATGTTTTGTTCCATGAAAATATCTACGATCTGATTGATATCTGCCAGTGGTTCTTCATCGGCTACCAGCATACTAGCAAATCCAGCACCCTGTTCCGGATTTGTGCGCATAACGGAACGCAACAAGAAAACATAATCTGGACTGTAGTTGACCTTCTTGGCGTAGAGCACAATCTTTTGGAACTGACCGGTTTCAGCGAAACATTGAATAACTTTATTCGGGACGTTTGAGCGCAGGTAGATCGACAGCGCTAGAGTGGGATCTGACGGCTTTACCAAGTCACCTAACTCTTCGCTGCACTCAAGTTTCTCTTCCTTGAGCCATTTCTCGCACAGTTGTTTACGACCTTGCGCCAGTACAGGGCGACACAGTTCTAGGGACTCGTACTTATTAAGCTTGCCTTGATCAAGCAGAATGCCAAAGTATTGCAACAATGGAGGAGAGTTTGTTCCGGGTTGAGCTGGAACTTGCTGGAATTTTTGGATGGTTTGTGGAGTACGAAGAATTCCTCTAGGAGCAATGGCTGCGACCTTGGCAGCTTCTGCGTACTGACCGTTTTGGAACAAATGATTGAACTTGCGAACAAACAAATCTTCGGCCCCGGACAAATTGTTACGGACAGCCATGCGCAATGCAAGATCAGGATTTTGCAGTACTGTGTTGATGTAGGGAATGATTTGTTCCTCATCAACAGTCACCGACAGAACCTGTCCTTTACGATTGACACCGATAATGCCTCCACTGGATTCATGAGGTGCCGTTACGAAAATGGTATCAGCCGAAATACGGTTCATGTAGATACATGTTCCAGTTTCGATATCATACATATGGATGTATCCATATTTGGTGATCAAATATATTACGTCGTATTTGGGAGAAACTTGCATCGCTACTGGGAAGTCACTCTGCGCTTCCGGTGGGAAGAAGACATCCACTGCTTTCTTCGTGAAAGCTGTGTTGCCAGTGGGTGGAGCTCCAACTTCAATGATATGGAGTTTGGCAGCGGTAGCCGAACGTACGGCGAAACAGAACAGCGTAGATGGTTCCTTGTTCTCTTCCATTTTGAACGTCGCGAATGAAGCGGCGTGTCCTTCGATTGCCTGAGACACCTTGCGTTCCACCGAATACAGTTGCATTGCCCCGATCACACGGTTTTGCTGAGCGGAAATACCTAGAATTAGACGAGAAAGGTTCCTAAGCTATTGCGCAAGACAATATGAGCAGAAGCTACTTACCAACTAAAAGAAGCCAAGCCTGCTTGGGATCGGTTCTATAGTTGATGATCTGGCATCCGTTCAGTGATGAATGACGTTCAAACATCTTCACCGGAGTTGAGTCCCCTTCCATGGACCAATGGTACACCGATGTCTCCGTCACCAAAGACAGAGTGTTCAAGGTGATCCATTTCCAGAAAACGACCTCCTCGGTCATTGTATGAGCCTTCATTTTGGATTTCATCTCGATGTTAAAAATTTGGAGCGTCTTTTGAGCTGCGGGACCAAAATTTGAAACAAATTATCGTTATTGCAAGTTGTTTACCAAAATTTCAAGCATAGATACCTTTCAGAGCTATGACCTTGCTAGCAGGGTTCATTATGGCCGAATCAGCGCTAATCGGCCGGCGGATAGGATTTTGCGCATCGTTCATATCGATAATGACGACTTGCGCTGTTTCGCCAATCTTCTCACGGACGCAAATGAACTTGTCGGATTCCATTGTCAAGTTGGTGAAGGAGATTGAGCTCGGATTGATGTTGATGTTGGTGAGCTATTGGAGAAGGAGATTAATTATTTTTACGGTAGAAGATATTTTAGTTGTGGCATGAGAAATTGGGAGGATTGAAACGCTAAATATTTCTGTCGATGACCGAATAGGTATTTCATAAACAGCTGGTGGCAACAACCTAGATTTCCAGGTATTTCCAGATATTAATTTGATCCGGAATAAATTTGCCAGAGTTTCCACTTAATTTATGTTTTTTTTTCCTGGTTTAAATCTCAACATTTTTCCGGTTGTTATCTGCTTATAATAATTATTATAATCTAATTATAATAATCTGTATTCGAAAAAAAAATTTACATTCAAAAATGGTGTTTATGTTCGACAGTTTCAACCACTTTCTTAAAAAAAAAACAAAGAAAAACGCAAAAGTTTATTAGGTTTTTTTTTTTTTTTTTTTGTCTGCTATGTCAGGCTTAGACCATGGGTTGGTCCATCTTGCCTTTGGTTGTCTTCAGTATTTTATGTTGATTCTTTGATTGTAGGTTGCCTTGCTGATCGATACGTTTGGTTCATATGTTCATGTTGATATCTTTCAGAAATTGAGTTACACTCTTCAGCTCGTCTATGTTTTGGTCCATGAATATTTGAGAAAGCGGTTTCATGCTATCTAGCACTTGCGCCTTCGCCCTTGAGTGCTGCCACCTGATGCATTGGTACAGTATATGTTCCAAGTCTTCTACTTCGTCACACAGATTACACATTTCGTCGTCCTCCCATTTCCATTTGAATTTCCTCTCTTTTGTCATCACATGGTTGGATCTTATACGACTGAGGGTGATTTTTTCCTCCGTTGTGAGATTTAACCCTTTACACCATGGTATCCTTAGGGGTTCTTTGACGAACTCAAAATGTTTAACTCCTTTGGTCAAAGAAATGTTTTGGTAGTTACTAGTCCACTTTTTCCAGATGCCTTTTTTAGCTAATGCTAGGGTGTCGCCCAGCGTGAGTTTTTCTTCATTTGATGCTGTGTTGGAAGTCGCCTGTACTGCTAACCTATCTGCAAACTCATTACCCTGAATCCCTACGTGGCTGGGGATCCACTGAATGTTAACGGTTTTTCCGAATTCCTCTAATCGCTGTCTTATTACCAGGATATCTCTTACTATGTGGTTTGTTCTGCATTTTTCTTTGTTTTTCAGGGCCTCACATGCACTTTTCGAATCCGTGATGATGACCACTTCCTGATAGTTTTTGCTCTCGGCTATTGATATTGCTTCGCGAATTGCTATCAATTCCGCGTTCATTATGCTGGTGTTGACGTTGATCTTTACTGCTTTGTAGAGTTTGTCCGTCCAGTCTACTGCCGCGATCGCTGTCCCGTTGATATTCTTGGATGCATCCGTGAATATTTTCTTGACCTTGCCGTACGTTGTTTGCAGAAGCTCGTTTGCTGCTCCTCTCCATTGTTCTGGGCTGATACTCATCGCTACTCTCACAAAGGAATTTTGTACCGTCTCTACTTTTTGCCTATTCGTTTTAGCCGCGTTCCCATATATTGAAGCCCCGTATTCTATTTTCGATCTTACTAATGCATTACCAATTTTTAGCATCGTTTCTGGGTTAGCTGGACTCCTTTTTCCACTTATCATCTTGAGCATATTTATGCTCTTGCTTGCTTTGTTGGATACTGTCTCTATATGTTTTCTGTGAGTTAGTCCTCGATCTACCGTATAGCCCAAGTATCTGTGGGTGTTGGCAAGTTCGATTTTTTCTCCGCAAACTTTTATATTTATGTTTTTGTCCTTGATTTTGCTGAAATTGATCGCAGCGCATTTTGTAGGATTTACCGATAGGTTTAGTGTGGCTAGTTTTGTTGTTAGCTTTTGCAGGAATCTATTTGCTCTACCAATTATTTCCGGACCATCTCCTGAAACGAAAACCGTGAAGTCATCTGCGAACTGGACTAATACCACTCCTTCCTCTTCAATTTTGTGAAGTTCAGCTGTATAGATGTTAAACAGCAACGGCGATAGTGGGCATCCTTGGGGGAGGCCGCTGTTTACTGTTATTGACACCGTGGCTTCTGGGGACAAAATATTAAGCTGTCGCTCCTTCAGATACTCGAATATCCATTCGAAAGCTTTAATTGGTATTTTTTCCTGTGCTAGTGTTGCTAGTAGGGTCTGGCAGTTCACCGAGTCAAATGCCTTGTCCAGATCTAGGAATACAGCTAGGGCATACTGTTTGGCCTGTTTGGCTTCCTTCACCGAGTTGATTACATGATTTACACAGCTTATTGCCGAGTAGTTCTTACGAAAACCGAAGGAGAGCTCTGGAAATATGTTGTTATCCTCCGCGTATTTGTATAGTCGGTCCTTTACTATAGTGTTTATTGTCTTCAGGAGCACGTTCATTAGAACGATCCCTCGTTTTGCTGCTACATCACTTTTGTCCTTGTTTGGCTTTTGAATTAAAACTAGTTTGTTTTGTCTCCATCTTACCGGTATGTTGTTGGTTCTCCAGACTCGATCCAGCTGTGTGCAAACTTCCATTAGGATTTCCCATCTTAATCCTTTCAGGATGTGGTACGAGATGTAGTCCATGCCTGCCGCCGAGTGGTCCTTCTTGCTCTTGAGAACTCGCATGAATTCCGAGAACTGGAGTGGTGCTTCTACTTCCTCGTCCGTACTCAGTCCTAAGGTAAGTTTATGAGTGTTCAGTTCAGTCTTTTTTTGTTCGTAGTTCATCCCTATGAACTTCTCTGCAATCTCTTTGGACGGGTTCGTGTCCGCCCCTCTTTTGTTGCCTGTTAAAGCCGTATCTAGACCTCTGATGATGTTCCATATCTGTTTAGCCGGCGTCGATTCGTCGATTTTCTCCTTTAGCTCCGTGTCGTGCTTCCTTTTCTCCTTTCTTACTGTTCTCTTGAACACCGCCCTTGCCTTCTGCATTTTAAGTTGGTTTTCCAGCGTTTTGTTCCGGTTGTAGATTCTCAGTTGTTCCCTCTTTTCGTTGTACGCTGATTGTATGTCCTGGTTCCACCATCGCTTAAGATAGTTCGCTTTCTTATTTGTTATGGTATAGCTGGCTTTTTTAATGTTTTCTTCGAAAACATCCTGCATTTCTTCGGGATTGTATAGAAATTGGGGTTGTATACTGTTTAGGAGCTCCATTGCCTTCTTTTTGTTCACCTTGGTTCGCTTTCCGGGCACTGTAGGTACGTCTAGTTGCAGGTCCATTACTATGCTCATGTGACAGCTTCCAAACTCCTCTTCTACTACTTCCCATTCCGTGATGCTCGCTATGTATCCAGAAGCCATCGAGAGATCGATCGCCGTTGGTTCTGCGTTTATGCGTGGGATCGTTGTTGGTCTTCCGTCGTTGAGCAGCACCATTTTCGATGCTACAACCTCTTCAGCTATCGCCTTGCCTTTTACACATGGCTTTGCCCCGCTCTCCCATATTGGATGTCTGGCGTTGAAGTCACCAGTAAGGATGACTTCACCATCTAGACCTTCGATGAAATTAAAAATTTCTTTGATTTTTAGCACTTCGTTTTTAATTAGGCTCTGATCCGGTGGAATGTACACCGAAAGTATTGTGAAGTTGGTGCTTATACTTTTTGTTTTTATGGCAACCGCTTCTATCGGGTCGAAGTTAGGGAGCTTAACTTCCTCGTATGTTACGTCATCTCTGATGAGAATGGCAACACCTCCGTATCCTTCTTCTCTGCATTTCTTGACGATGCTGAATCCTTTTATTCTATAGTTTTCCGTTGGCTTGATCCATATCTCCTGCAGGCTTGCAATGTGCACTTTTTCTCTGTTCAGGAAGACCGCTAGTTCTTCTCGTGTTTCGGTGGGCCTTAATGATTGTACGTTGGATTGCATGATCTTGAAATTATCCATCATTGTGTGTTAGGGGCTCTTCTGTTTCCTTGTTGGGCGATTCCGTACACTCCGCTAGATCTTCCATGAATTCTTGTATGATTTCGTTCAGTGTGGAACTTACCCTTATTAGTATTTCCTCCAGGTTGACTTCCGAGGCTGCCTGTCCAACCACCTCCGCGTTGATTGCTGATTGCAGTCTCATCAGCTTTCTGACTAGATTCAGGTTTCTCCAGAAATGCTTCAGCTCCATCATCGTCCTTTCCAAAACTGTTGCTTTGTGTGGGTTTTCTGTGAACTGTCGTTGGTGTTGCTTTTCCTTTACTTTATCTGCGTACGTTCCTTGTTTGTCGCCTGGCGTCGTTTTCTGTGGTGTTCTGCTGTTTTTTTTCCACACGAACTTGTATTGACTGCTGTTTGCGTTTCTCTGCGAGCGACACTGCTCGTCTCGCTGCTCACCCATATCTGGAAATTCCTCTTCGAAATTCGACAGCAAGTCGAACTGATTAGCCTGTCTCCATTTCTCGTTTGCTTCCTTGTACGTCAATTTTTCCAACTGCATTCCCGCGTTGATTTGTACCTGTTTTTCCTTCTCTGGGCACTTGCTATCCGTCGGACTGTGCGGACCTCCGCAATTGATGCATGCCTTCTGCCTGCAGTTGTCGTCTTCGTGTTGAACTCCGCATTCCTTACATTTTGTTGTCCTCCAGCATTTTTCTCTCCGGTGTCCAAATCCCCAACAGTTTGAGCATTGCTTCACCGGGAACAGGTAGAGTTCAATCTTGAACCTGCATCCGTATAGCGACACGCTGTCTGGTAGTTGCTTTCCTCGGAAGATGATTTTGACGTTTTCCGTATCCGTTAGCTTCTTGTTCCTATCCATTTTCTTCATCCTTTCCACTTTGATGATTTCGCCCTCCGACAACAGATCTTCCATCAATTCTTGCTCGCTGTAATCTCTCGGTATTCCTTTAGCCAAACTCACTGTCTGTCTGAGGATTATTGGGACGTAGCACTTGAGGTTTAGCTCCTCCATGTTAATCTCCATTAGTTTTTTGGCTTCCTGTGGTGCTCCGAACGATACCTTGAATCGAAACCTGCCAATCGCCGTGATATCGGTGTAGGTTTTGATTCCCTTACTGGATAGGGCTTTACCCACACTGACTGGGTGTCTGATGGTAGGTTTCTCGTAGTCCCATGGCTCCAGGTACACCGTGTCGTTTTGTTGGTTATCCTGCTGGTTGCTGCTGTTTCCTGGGTTTTTTCCGTGTTCTGTTACTTTGGATGTTCCTCCTCCTTTCGATACCGTTGGACCTTGTCCTGTTTTGGCCTTCACCGTTGCCGTCATTTTCACCTCCTTATTCTTGTACTGCTTCCTTGTTTCAATTTGCGATTTCGTGCTCATTTTCTTTCACTTGCATTCTTTGCGGATTGCTTTTTGATTTTTCTTACGCTTTTATCTTCTACTTTTCTTCGTTTAATTGCTATCTTCTCTTCGCTTAAATCCTAATGCCACTTCACTTAATTTATATTTTTTCTTCTCTATGTATTTCTATATATTATTGCCCCGTGACACCTTACGGACTGAAACTCTTCACCGACACTTAACTTTTTCTAGGTTATAGCTAGTTTATCTTCTTGTCTTTTAGAAACCACCGCAGCACTTTTGAGCGGCCGGTTCGGCCATCCGACCCTCCATCACACCGGAACCACTCGACCTCCTTGCAATCCGTTCCACTTAAACTTTCTGGTCGAAAATCAGCTGTTCACACACTTTTTCTGCCACTAAATCGATTTTTTTAACCAAACAAAATCAAAAAAAACGACCGCACGTGAAGGTTACTTTTTCGACGATGGTTTATTAGGTTTTGCACCGTCGGGGTTAACCTCAATCTGATGACAGTTCAGTGGTACTGTTTACGTGGACTTAGTCGATTTTTTCTTGGGTGGATTTTCTCGATAATTTTTCAGACTGCAGTGAGATGTACACAGCATTTCTGCAATGTTCACGAGCAACATCCTTGCAACGCGCTGTTCCTCGACAATTTTCAAGTTAAAATTCAGAAACCTTAGAAATTTTTTTTCGAAAAAACGACTAAGTGCTTGTAAACAGTACCACTGAACTGTCAAAAAGGTTCAGCCGTTTAACACTGAGTTCATTTGTGACGTCACGCTGCAGAACCTAATTCGTATCTAACGTTCATTGTTAATTTTGGATCGACTGAGAATAAGGTTTTGCACCGTCGGGGTTAACCTCAATCTGATGACAGTTTAGTGGTACTGTTTACGTGGACTTAGCCGATTTTTTCTTGGGTGGATTTTCTCGATAATTTTTCAGACTGCAGTGAGATGTAAACCACATTTCTGCAATGTTTACAAGCAACATCCTTGCAATGCGCTGTTCCTCGACAATTTTCAAGTTAAAATTCGGAAATTTTAGAATTTTTTTTTCGAAAAAACGACTAAGTGCTTGTAAACAGTACCACTGAACTGTCAAAAAGGTTCAGCCGATTAACACTGAGTTCATTCGTGACGTCACGCTGCAGAACCTAATGGAATGGCAAAAAGAAAGTGAGAGACTGTGAATGTGTAAGTAAGTTAATTAACTGAGTGATAAGTGAGTAGTGAGATGTGAGTTAGCATATTGCATCAAATCTTCCCGAGCAACGCCGGGAGTGTTCAACTAGGGGTATTCGGGGTAAAACGGACAGTGGAGATAATACGGACACCTGATTGTTTGATCGCTTAACTATTGAATAATTGGGTTTTGGTCACACCCACTCTTAATTAACGAATGGGCGTACTTTGGTTCGCGTGTAAAGGGCCTTACAAGTTTTGTTTACAAATGCTTTTGTGCCGTTATCAAATGTTATGCCTGAAATGTTGCTTCTATCTTTGACAATACAACAGAAGGACTAGCCTATGTTTGCAGCTTGAACACTGCCTTCTTGTTTCAAGATAGTTATAGAAAAAAGGCTATGACGTGTGCGCGTAGAATCACATCCGCGTAGTAATCCGATTGAAATTCAATCATTGAATAAGAAAATCCTTATTAATCTGGTTAATGCTTTTGGTCTGCTTGCGTTTTCTTATTGAAACTCAAGACTAAATAGGAAGATTTATTCTACAACTTTAAAGGTTAGTTACCTCCCTAAGCGGACCCCCCGCATCCTAATTCTTTTGTTAATCTACTTAATGTAATTAGACTTTCGGAAGTTTCTTATTTAAGTTCATTTGATGATTATGATATTTCATTAGTCTAATTTAATAAATAATTGAAATATTTAATTTACCTAATCAATCATAGCCCATGCTTTATTAAGTACCTGTACTTGTGCTTGTAATCTAAAATTAAACTTGTTTCAAGTACTTTTTACTTTGACCTATATTTATTATATTTTAGTTCGACCCAGGTGACACCTTTAAGTGACTAAAATGCTTCACTTTGAAGTTAGTGTCCTAGCTGATTTTTAAATTATATAAGGTATATGCTCCAACTACGCTCACACGTTTCCACTATGTCGCACCACAAAAATACGTATGGGTATCTCACAATAGAAGCACGCCAGAGTGGAAATCCCGAGCCATAGTTCAAACATTTATCCCAAATCAAAATGAAGCACATATAAGATTAGTTGCAATACCATGTACAAAAATGGTGTTTAACATTGTTCCCTGAGTACTTCAATAAAAACAAAAACTTGTCACACAAATAGAAGAAGCACCGTTGGGCACTTTCTGAAATATTTCAATAGTATAATTCCCTTGCAAACCCAAATAAATCTAACTGCGTAAAAATAAATAAGAGTGATTTGCGGAAAACCCGCGTACTACGACGCGGCTCTCAAACAAAGGATTAACAAGTGTGATACTAACACTGCTGGACTAGATATTTGGTTCTCCCATTCAGTGGTTCATCAGAGAGGGGAAGCTCAGTAATCCCCATTGCCTGCCCATGCCGCCATTCTATCGCGGCATGAGCCAGCAACGCTGGCATAAACACTCCAGTATAAAGCATGAAATTCATCCCGCCCACCAACAGCAAGGTGCAAAAACTAGCCAAGGAGAGGGAACCTCAGATTTTGAAACTGACTCACATATACACATCATATCGTCTTTCGAATGTATTCAAAATTTTGAAACTGTCCTTAAATGCAATTATGAAGAAATAAATGATGATTTTTGATAGACCTTTCGTAGCTGTCCCATATTGATATCCGATCCAGAATGGAACTGAATCAGAAACAAATTCAATCAATCCAATCCTCTAACCATCCTAGTTCATTTGTGTCATTTTTGACCTGGAAACACTGAGTAAATTTTCTCTGAGGAAGGTTAAGTTACAAACAAACAGACGTAACTATTTAAATAAATTTTATCTTAAAATATCGTCACAGAACTTACTAACGACATCTCGGGAGCTATTCGCGCTGGGTTCTCAATGTCTCAAACAATATTGCATACAAGCAGGGATGGATCTCTCTTTGGGACTTTTTCATTACTTTTCAATGTGGAATGCTTACGTTATTGAAAACATCCAACTGTATTTTCAGTTAACCCATCTTAAAATAGATAGTTTAGTGCTATTAATCTCCTTATCAAAATTCTAAATTTCCGCACCGCAGAGACACAATCTCTGTTTTCACTGAAAGTGCACTTGAGAGCGCTCTTTCAGTGAAAACAGAGTGCCCTTTCAGTGAAAACACAGGTAGGGAGATTAATAGCATTGAACTATTTATTTTACGATGGGATGACTGAAAATTTAACTGGATTTTACGTTGACATTCTATAATATTAAGTAATCAAAAATCCCCAAAAGAGTGATCCACCACAGCATACTATAGTCGCTAATTTATAGTCAGGCGGATAGAATTTCAATCTACCAAAAAGCGGAACCAATTCAATATATTGTAGAACAACAATTGAAAAGGTACTATCAAGTTTTATAAACAAAACGTTTTGAATTGCATTAACCTGATGAATGTGACAAACAAATAAAATAATAAATGTTTGATGATTTTGCACATTTTACCAGTTGTATACTGTCTCCCCAGCTTACAAAATCTAGGTATTTATCGATTAAAACTAAGATTTATCTATCTGGCAAACTTTGAATCGAGCTGAAAACTAAGTCCATTCCTATAGTGTGGATTTTGATTCTGATGCTCCCACTTTTGCAACCAATGAAGGTGCGGCACCCAGGGTTGCTTCCACTCACTTGTTATAATAAAATGTTTTTCGGAATTATGAAGTCATTACATGATATAATAATATGTTGTACTTGCAAGTAACAAGAAGAGGGTGTAAAGTGTGTGTTTGTCTCGTAAAACCTGTCAATCAACGATCTTATGATTCGTGAGCGTTCACTCAGAGTGAGCGCTCACGAATCGTAAAATCGCTGATTGCGACGAACTGAAAGCAATATTGACAGGTTGTATATGTCAAACACATACTTCACAACTTTTTCTTGTAACTAAAAAGTACAAATTACCATTATAACATCTAATGGCTTCATAATTCCGAAAAAACAATTTATTATAGGAAGTGAGTGGAAGCAACCCTGGCGGCACCATTTCGGCATACCTCACTTCACTCGACACGCCCCCTTAAATCAGTCTTTCCGTCAGCCCCGTATATTTTTCTACAGCATTCGTAATTTAACTCTTGAGCAAGAATTTGATGCATGAACGTTAGCTGTTTATCTTCATTGTTTTTGATTGCGTTACTAATAATATCCGCCTCAGATCATGCCTGACGGAAATGGGTCCTATATACCGAAGTAATGCTCTACCCTATGTTAAGAATAAAACTGGATCTTTTGACAATAACCTACATTGTAACTGGACAGTACAATTTAATCCAGTTACTTTACTTCAGTAGGTTTTATACTAAACGCAAACGTTACACATTAATGGCTTATGTTGTTTACCCATTTAATGGGTTAACCTGAATTACTACTAAGTGGGAGAAATTTTACCCATTAATGGGTACTGTAAATGCAGAGTGTGTTATGTTATATAATGATCATTTTCAAATGGTCGAACATTTAGAACATTTTCTCCAAGTAAGTATAGATAATCGAGTCCGTCTAGAGGTTCAAAATTAATGATTTACGTTTTGTTGTATGTTAAAATTTGTCCATTAAAATATGCCAAAGCAAAACTGCAAATAGCCTGCTAGCGGCTCCATATAATATTTAATGTTATAAAATTCGTCGACGTGTGTCCAATGATGATTAATACAATATGCATGACTCAATTTAAAAGTAACTAAAAATGTCCAAAGCTCTTTCTCTTCTACGTTCAAGCTGTTGTTATCGTTACGAACGACTGACACAGAGAGTGGAAAGATTCAGAAAAGAAGCACAGTATTCATCATCATCGTCATCGTCATCGCTAGCAGCAGTGTATCCATTTATCCACGGTGGAGCTATGCAGAAAAGGGGGCGTCTATTGATTCGTTTTTTTTTTTCTTTTTCCATAATCTTCTTTTCACTTATCGTTTTACAATCCTCGCCCAGACAGAAAATGTAGATAAATAACTTATCCTAAATTACCTGCAAATGCTCCTGAAAGCGTATCGGGAGAGCTTGCGACATGTTGGCGATTTAATAACGTACTCGTATGCAACAAATTAGGACAGTTTTCAACACTTTTTACACGATTTTTCACTGGAAATCAGCAAATCTCCGCTTCCGCTGATTTTCTGGTGCACAGAGCAATCAATTGAATGCCTCTCCACTCTTCACAATTTCAACATGGCGCCCGTGTTCGAAAAATCGTTCTATTGTGACGACAGTATTCCTACGCCTATGGATTAAAACGTAAATTAATTCGTTAATACAAATCCAATAATTAATAATGCGACACTGCTATTTCAAGCACTAGATATTCAATAAAGGTTTCAACTTTTGACGATTATTTCATTTAACAAATCACTGTCAAGTATCCGTAATTAAATTTCGAAACTTGGAACTACTTTCTGTTCCACAATCTGCCACATGAACACTTTTTTGACGTCTACTCATGAATGTCGACACCGCTGACAGTCACTAGATTTTTCTTCCTTTTTGCGGTGGTGACCTTCCGTACTTATTGATTTTTCCGCCTCAGATCATGCCTCAAAGCAGTGTATTACCACAATAAGCATTACGGAGAAAGTAGCAGATGATGCAGTATTCACTTTATTTATTATGTAACGCAGATTGAATATAATCCCTTTATGTTGTTATCAACGGGAAAGCAAGCTAAATAATCACCATACAGTTGCTACAGATATCAGTTCACAGACGCATATCGATTATACCACCCAAAGACCTAGTACACTGAAATATTTATTGCAACACGTTCAACAAGTTTTTAGATACAGATAACAATAATGCAAGAAATTTTCTATATTGTTCCCGGTGCAAAGAATAACACGATTTTTTTAAGAACACCACACAAAAGAGCTCCTGTGTCGGCTTCAAGATGACGATGATTAAGCGAATGCAATTTTATGATGGCGGTTTTGGTTTTGACAGTTTCTGATGAATGCACCAGAATGAATGAGCACTTGTTACACGGTAAAAAAAAACTTTTCAGAATCATCTCGAGATTGCACGCTATTTCAAAACTTCCCGAATTTGGGTAGAACCCACCCAGATCGGTAAAAACTAAACGTACCCAAAAATGGGTAAACTATGTTGGGAGTGACAAGTTGACGAATGCACGTTGTTTCGTGAAAACCAGCCCATCAGTGGCAGGCGCGTACACGGTAACCAGCGTAAACACATAAATGAGTAAAATAATACACACTTTTTATATTTATATGCAGCTGTCAAAAAATGTGTAAATTTGGAGATCTTAAAATGTGTAAAAAAATACACATTTTAAGAATGTAGTACCAGTCAAAAAATGTGTATTTTTATACTCATTAATGGGTAAAAAAAACTTCAAACTTTGCTGTATCCTGCCTTGTTTACGCACGCCATTCTGGTGCATTTGTATATATTTCAGCAAAGTACAACAGGAAAATAAAAAAAAAGTCAGTTATGCGAGGCATGCGAGGTAGGCGACGATTGTTCGTATTTGACAGCCACCTCCCCCCTTGAAAATAACTGGTTTGAGCCCGGGACATGCTGCCTACACAGAAATTCAAAACAACCCAAAATTAAGTTCTTTTCACTCATCTCCCATGTTCCGTACGATAAGCCAAATTTGGGTAAACCGGCACAAAGTACACTGAACCAATATGACATATTCCTGTTATGTGGAAGTCTAATAAATTTGCGCTATAAGATAATCCATTGAAAATGTGTCAGGTAAATTCTATATGAATATCTGATACATTTAAAATGCTGATAATTTGGTAACTTTTATATGATCGTCATATGATAAATGAAAATCGGTCAAATTATAATAAATAACTGAAATGGATTTGAAACCCATAAGCATAAGCTTTACTTTTCACCACAATATAATATATGTGTCATAAATCAATCGAAGTAAAGTTTATATGATAATCACATGAAATTTATTTCTTCTTTTGACACATATATTTAATCGATTTCTAAAAATAAATCGAAAAATAAACATCAGGCAGTGGGAGCTTTCACAGTTGTGTCTTTTTTTTTATTGTAACTGATTTGGGATTCGATCCAGAACTATTGAGGTGTGATGCTTTCGGTGTCTGCGCTCGATTCCACTGGGCCAATGCTGACTTCAATATTGAGCTCGTTCAATTAGCATGAAGTAAGAACAGCTCTCCCGACATGGAATGTAGTGCAACGTTATGCTCGTTTTGCTAGAGTGAAGAAAAATAACACTGACAAATTTATGCTCCGTTTCTGTGGTGTCGTGTATTCAAATCTTTCTTAATGCTCATGTGTGCAATAAGACAACGACTACATTATATGAGTTCATGGAACTGGTTCATGAAGTTCGAGTACTAGTGCTGGAATCTGAATTAGCCGTGTAGAAGGCTTACAATTAGAATCTTAGCAAAGTAAATATTGCAGTAGAATCATTTTTTTTTTCAATCTCAATACATTCTTTTCCGGAATCCCTTATCTTATGGAACAATAACAAACAAGGATTATTCAATACAGTATCATTGTTATTAGCTATATTTAGTTCGACTTATCATTTCAATGAGTGTACGATGTTGAAAATTGTTTCAATAATTTATAAAGAACAATCATGTAAGATGTTTTTTATTGGAAGCGATATTCATCCCGGAAAATCATGCCAAAACAAATGTTTGCTGTTGGATTTCTTAAAAGGCAAATATAGATGACTATTTAATGATTGGGATAGATCTGTTTACAATCTTTAAACCTCAAAAATCAAAGGAAGCTATTCCAATGAGATATACATGTTTTCCTATACTGCAAAGTTAAATGACAGTCCAATACTTTCTACATGTCTGTTTACATGCGACATATCAACAAACGTCAAAAATCGTTAAAAGCAACTCCAATAAAATATACATGATTATCTTATAAGATATATCTTTTAGTGAGCAATATTCATCATGAAAACAGATATATTTGACTGAATTTTCCCATAGTGCAAACTTATATGATTTTCCATTAGTTTCTAGATGTCTGTTCCCACCCATGACATATCAACAGTTTTTCACCATGAAATATATCAGACAATATTCATATACATCTTACCTATCGCTAACCAAGAACGAAGCAAAGTTTTATGAAGTACTGAGTATGTGAAATTACGATAGAAATCATTCCATATCGCAGTCATAGTTTTTAAGTGATAATCCGATGGAATCTATCAATCATCACATAGAATGCGAGGCATGCGAGGTAGGCGACGATTGTTCGTATTTGACAGCCACCTCCCCCCTTGAAAATAACTGGTTTGAGCCCGGGACATGCTGCCTACACAGAAATTCAAAACAACCCAAAATTAAGTTCTTTTCACTCATCTCCCATGTTCCGTACGATAAGCCAAATTTGGGTAAACCGGCACAAAGTACACTGAACCAATATGACATATTCCTGTTATGTGGAAGTCTAATAAATTTGCGCTATAAGATAATCCATTGAAAATGTGTCAGGTAAATTCTATATGAATATCTGATACATTTAAAATGCTGATAATTTGGTAACTTTTATATGATCGTCATATGATAAATGAAAATCGGTCAAATTATAATAAATAACTGAAATGGATTTGAAACCCATAAGCATAAGCTTTACTTTTCACCACAATATAATATATGTGTCATAAATCAATCGAAGTAAAGTTTATATGATAATCACATGAAATTTATTTCTTCTTTTGACACATATATTTAATCGATTTCTAAAAATAAATCGAAAAATAAACATCAGGCAGTGGGAGCTTTCACAGTTGTGTCTTTTTTTTTATTGTAACTGATTTGGGATTCGATCCAGAACTATTGAGGTGTGATGCTTTCGGTGTCTGCGCTCGATTCCACTGGGCCAATGCTGACTTCAATATTGAGCTCGTTCAATTAGCATGAAGTAAGAACAGCTCTCCCGACATGGAATGTAGTGCAACGTTATGCTCGTTTTGCTAGAGTGAAGAAAAATAACACTGACAAATTTATGCTCCGTTTCTGTGGTGTCGTGTATTCAAATCTTTCTTAATGCTCATGTGTGCAATAAGACAACGACTACATTATATGAGTTCATGGAACTGGTTCATGAAGTTCGAGTACTAGTGCTGGAATCTGAATTAGCCGTGTAGAAGGCTTACAATTAGAATCTTAGCAAAGTAAATATTGCAGTAGAATCATTTTTTTTTTCAATCTCAATACATTCTTTTCCGGAATCCCTTATCTTATGGAACAATAACAAACAAGGATTATTCAATACAGTATCATTGTTATTAGCTATATTTAGTTCGACTTATCATTTCAATGAGTGTACGATGTTGAAAATTGTTTCAATAATTTATAAAGAACAATCATGTAAGATGTTTTTTATTGGAAGCGATATTCATCCCGGAAAATCATGCCAAAACAAATGTTTGCTGTTGGATTTCTTAAAAGGCAAATATAGATGACTATTTAATGATTGGGATAGATCTGTTTACAATCTTTAAACCTCAAAAATCAAAGGAAGCTATTCCAATGAGATATACATGTTTTCCTATACTGCAAAGTTAAATGACAGTCCAATACTTTCTACATGTCTGTTTACATGCGACATATCAACAAACGTCAAAAATCGTTAAAAGCAACTCCAATAAAATATACATGATTATCTTATAAGATATATCTTTTAGTGAGCAATATTCATCATGAAAACAGATATATTTGACTGAATTTTCCCATAGTGCAAACTTATATGATTTTCCATTAGTTTCTAGATGTCTGTTCCCACCCATGACATATCAACAGTTTTTCACCATGAAATATATCAGACAATATTCATATACATCTTACCTATCGCTAACCAAGAACGAAGCAAAGTTTTATGAAGTACTGAGTATGTGAAATTACGATAGAAATCATTCCATATCGCAGTCATAGTTTTTAAGTGATAATCCGATGGAATCTATCAATCATCACATAGAATGAATAAATCTGCTGACATTGCAATGTTATAAGATGGATCCAATAAACGGTACATGTCGATTTGTTTCAGTGTAGTTTGCATTTAAGCACGGCAAAAAAAATTACCCATCGCTAAGTTATTTTCAATTTTTTCTACCCAAAATTAAGTTCAATTAACTCAAATTTGGGTGTATCGCATATTACTCAATTTTGGCTTCTTGTACGGAACTAGACGGTTGAGTCTAATCTTTCGTTCTATTTTTGACAACAATAGCGAGAGGAAATGAAACGGACAGAGGTCAAATAACTCAAATTTGAGTTTAAAAAACCCAAGCGGTGGGTAGTTTTGTTTTTCTGTGTACACGGAGACGAAAAACTACCCAAAGTTAAGTACTTTTCCCTCAATTCCGGGGTTCAGCCCAATAACCCAAATTTGAGTAAATCACATATAGTAGTTTCCATTTAACACCAGCAAAAAAAATACCTACTCTTATGGTGGTAAGCTCCAACCGGTATTATACTCGAATTAAATCCTGATCA